GATTTGGACTCCTTTTTAACCGACTTCAAAAAGGAGGTTCTCATTTCTACTGCAAATTTTTTTGTGCACAAGTATAATAATAATAACAATAACGCACACACTTATAGCCCCACACTAGGGAAACCCTGTGTCGCGGGCGCCATAGAGTGCCATGGACACACACATAGACAACCACAAATTAAACTAAAAAAAATAAAATATTTCTCCCGGCCAGGAATCAAACCTGGAACCTCTGCATGGCAGACTAGCATGGTAACCACATGGTTCAGCCACGGAGGCAGTTGTATGTTACGCGGTTCCTCAGTCAATGAGAGAACCGATTTCGATGATATTTTTTTTGTGGAAAGGAGGTATCCCAGTTGTAGTCCCATTTAAATTTGAAGAAAATATTCCAACTCTAATGGTGGCAAATGAGGGAATGGATCCGATTTATTAAATTTAACCCACTTTCCGTTAATAGATTCCATTAAAACTTAGCAAATAGATGTAACGAACACAATAACAGCGAATGAGCAAATTTTTGAGGTCGATTTAAAGGACTGGCCAGGTGTTGCCCAAGACCTTTTCCCCCCAGTGGGACAGAACAGGCTCATAACAGTAATAAATATTTAATAATATTTAAGTATTTGCTCAAGTGACCGACAAAGAATAATACAACGGTTTATTTTTGTAAGAATATATTATATTATATATTTCCGTTTTTTGGCCATATACGCGTGTAGTAAAAGGTGTACTAAATCGCTGGCATTAATAACACAAGAGGTTTTTATTTAAGTGCCGTAAAGAGCTGTGGTTGGATTTAAGAACTATACATATGGGTCTTTTGTAGAATAAGCAAAAGTATAAACAAATAAACTATATCTAAATAGGATATAAATAATGTAAAAAGGTAAACAAAATATTCAAGAATTGAACTTTTTATATAAAAAAACTGATTTCAAAATTTATGGAATTTCATTTAATTGCCAAGATTTAATGAAATCGGCTAGAAAGTGGGTGAAATCCAATAAACCAGATTCATACCTTAATTTGATACCCTTATAGGTGGAATATTTTCTTCAAATTTGAATTGGACAACTATGAGGTACCCCCTTTCCAACAAAAAAATAATCATTGAAATCGGTACACATATGTAGTCGAATTGAGAACCTCCTCCTTTTTTAATCGACTTCAAAAAAATTTTTTTTTGTGTGTTAGTTACGCGATTACTCCGGCATTTCAGAACCGATTTTCAAGATTATTTTTTTGTTGGAAAGAGAGTACCTCTGCGTTGATTCCATTTGAAGAAGATCCCATTGAAGAAAATATTTCACCTTTAAGGATGGCAAACTAGCGAATCAATCCGGTTTTGTGCACTTTCCGGTGACCGATTTCAACAAAACTTGACAAATAGATGTAATTCCACGAACTTTTGAGGTCGTTATTTAAAATAAAAAAGTTAGGGTTCGAAGTTTGTTTCTGCCTCGTACATTAAGTTTTTTCTTTTATTTTTTTTTCATTATTTTTATTTAATGACATGATTTAATTAAGTTTTGTTTAATGATGTAACAAATAACAACACTTAAAAAACCTACCATGAAAAGAAAAATATTAGATCGAAAAATAAACGTAATTATCGGGTTCTTAGGTTTTTACAATTGTTGAACGTAGGAAAAAAACTATATTTCGGTCTAAATCGCGTATTTCTTTGTTCACACAAACCAACAACTATTTAAAAATATTTCGGTAGCGTAAATCAGAATTTTTTTTGGTTAATTTAAAATAAATGTATTTAAAATAACTTTTATAACTATAGTGCAAAATAGTTTAGTTTGCGTTAATATTAAACATAACTGGTTGATGACTTTACCATGTCCGTCAGCCGCCGTGACCATGAGACCAGTAAAGGTCCCGAAATGTTGAAAAACATAAATAAGCGATTCAGATGCGAAAAAATAGTTTCATTTCGTAGTAATAAACCTAATTTATAAATCTAAGTAAAACTATGGTGTAAAAATAATTCGATGGTGGAAATTTGAGACGTCGTATGGGTTTCTTAGGTCATTTCAAATTTCCACTGCCGATATAGGGAATTATAGCGAATTTAATAATAAAAAACATTTTCCATGACGACAAAATATTCCTTACGATATTTCAAATTCCCACTGTCGATATAGTATGTGTGTGGGTGAGCTTCATTTTTTAAGTGTCGTTTGTACATACTACTTTTTTATTTCATGTTGTTTTATGCAAGTTTTATAAACGTACGAAACGTGTGTGGCGTAAAATACTTTACAGTGAGTAATTAACGTAATTTCCGCGTGGAGTTTTTGCCCGACCTCTGCTATATGCCGTTCTAAGTTGACCCTTAAAAAAATTTTGCCTAAAAAATACAAATTAATATACGTGAACGTTTAAAAAATGCTCAAAGTTATCATTTGTAACAGTCTACCTGGAATTTCTTGCCGCATTGTAAAAATAAAAAGTAAAAAACCAAGATTTTTCCTGTTATTTACAATACACATGTATTACATTATATCATATTAGTAACTCATCGTCATCATCATCAATCCACTTATACGTCTGCTGGGTACGATTCTCCTCTCAGGCGAAGGACTAATGCGGGTTGGGTACACGTTTCCGAGGGTTGTATACCGTGTTCGACGTCCAGGTTTCGGCACGATGTTTTCCTTCATTGAAAGGATCATGGTAAATTTCCAATAAAATTTCGCACATAATTTCCGAGAAACTCAAGAGATGTGAGCCCGGATTCAAACCCACGGCCTCTGCTTGAGAGGCCGTGGGTTTGAATTTCAGAAAGGTCAAACCATCAGCTACCACGACATTTAACCGACTTTAAAAAAGGAGGAGGTTTTCAATTCGACTGTATGTTTTACTCCGGTATTTGCGAACCGATTTTGATGATTATTTTTTTGTTGGAAACATCCATAGTGATCCCTTTTAATTTTGAAGAAAATCATCCACCCTTAAGGGTGGCTGTTCGCATGAACACACGAAGATTAATTTTTATAAATAGCGCCTAATTTTTATTATAAGGAGCAATTATTTTAATGGTTGATTTTGCTATTCTCCTATTCAAGGCGTTTTTCTCTCAATATATTTTGAGCAGTGAGAACCGATTTTTATTATTTCTTGTGTCAAGTTCCGTATAGTGGCGAACTAGGGCATGAATCCGGGTTTGCGCACTTTCCGGTAAACGATTTCAATATAACTTGGCAAATAGATGTAATTCCACGTACTTTTGAGGTCGGTTTTTTTAGTACTCTGTACCGAGATTATTTTATTTACTTATTCTTATTAGTAACTGGAGCAAAAATAATATTATTTTATTGACGTGTTAATAATATCCAAAAGTGTTCAAGCTTCGTAAAATTAAATATCTCTAGATCTTCAACATGACCCCATTTTCTTATTTAGTACAAAGAGTTACCTAAGCTTTATTTAGAATTTCTCTACCATAATAAAACCACAATTTCTGTAAGAACCGTGTGTTTTAAATAAATTAAATTCGTAACCCTTTGCAACCCTGTATCAATCTTCCATTTGCGCTCGACCAAGGTGACCATAAAAAAAAGAAAAACAATATACAAAAGAGAACTCCTCATTACGGACTAATCTAAAAATAACACTTTTTTACTTTAAAAATAAACAAACATTAAAAACTCGAGCGCGTGCCTATTTAATTGGGTTTTTGATTAATAAAGGTATCAGGGTTAACAGTGAAAGGGCTTGGAAGAATATTTAAAAACTTTTCGTCCAATCGAGTGGGCTGTCCCTAATTGTGTTTACGCGAGATAACTTTTTCTATCAAAAGTTCGGTAGTCCACGGTTATAAAAGTATTTAATTTCGTACTAAAAATGACATCGTTCATGGACGCAAATATATTTTTAATATTCGCGCCAATATGCCCGACGAGTTAAAAGTTGCGAGCTGCCAGTGCGAAATAATGTGACGCAAACTTTTGTAATGTCCTCCCGCGGAATATTGCGGGAAATATTTATTTTTCTTGGACGTATAAGATGCCCTGATATCTTTGTTTATGATATGACTGCCATGTAATAAATAGTATTTATTTATACAATATTGATATTTATAGTAGACGCACTTAAAGAGTTGCGGCAACAGACATAAACAGACTGATAGTTCTACATAACATTATACATTTAAATTATATCCACCTCGTTTTTTATAAAAAATAAGTGCTCATTTCTATCTCACCCTATAAGTGACTATGAGGTCGACAGTGGCATGCACACCTATTATTTAGGCCTTCTCATTATCGCTTTGAATAAGCCCAAATTATAGCATTCAGGGAATAAGTCTGCAGGCAGGGAATTCCACTCCATAGTCGTTCGCCATACACGCGTGGAAGCGCAACACTTCGTGCGAGTCCTTGGAATATCCACAACACAGGGGTGGATGCCTAGCCTACATCTTGTCCCCCTATGGTGGAAAGGGGAAGGCGGAAAGAAATTTTGGAATTCCACTTCTCTCAGCAGCATAAGGTTTTAGACATCTTATTAGCACAACTTAGTAATGAAAGGCCGATCCACAAAAATAGTACCAATATGTTATTAAGTGTCCTGCCAAGCCAGGGAACTGGGATAATTAGGGAGCGAAAGAAACACGTACGTACTCAATAATTGCTGTATTCAGAGAGACCAAAAAATGAAGTTTTTTTGTAGCTGTCCTAAGCACTTAGAATTACCCTCATACATTACACCCTCACCCTTATCTAATGATTTATCGAAGAATTATTTAAGTAAATACTACAACAATTTCGCCAGTCAAATTTTATAAATTTTTTTGTGACTACTTAACATAAAGAAAGTATGCACCAACAAGATGCCTACAATACAGGTACTTATACAACTACACTATTAGGTTCTAAGTTTAAATTATAATATTTATAATGAAATAAATTTATATTATCTATAAAGACAAGTACATAATGTTCTTATCACTAAGTATCAAAACCATATCTACTGACTGGTTTTAGGCCATGTCGTGGTTTCAAATAAGGCCTTCGAGTGGCCTCCGGCCGAACAGGAGCGTTCTGAGAGCTCAGAGTATCGGCCGCGATCGCTGACGGAAGCCCCAGCCCCTGCAAGCTTGACTGTGTGGCTTCCCCTGCATCCGTACCAGGAAATGACGAACCAGGCGTGGGCCATTCAGAATCATACCAATGTTTCTTAATCTGATCAATATGTTGTTGTGGGGGACCGTCATCCCTGTTGATCACATAGTCACGTGTACCTATTTTTTCACTTACTGTGCCCAACCTCCATCACTTTCTTTCCCCGTAATCTCGAGCCATCACCACCTCTCCTACCTTAAACTCTCTGGACTTACCCCGTGCATATTGGATTTGTTTCTTACAACTGCGGTTAACTTTATCCAGTACTTGACGCTCAGTTTTCAACAAGTCTAATCGACACCTAATATTCCTACGTTGTAATAACATTGCCGGCGCCGCGCCGGTGGTCCCGTGCTCTACATTTCTATATGCCATTAAACTGTGACGCCACTTCTATATCACACTCTTCTCTTAGGAACTTCTTAAATGACCCGTTGAACAAGTTTTACAGCGCCCTCTGTAGCGCCGTTCGATGAAGGTGATATATTGGCGTAAACGTCAAATGAATCCCATTATTCGTCATAAAATCTGCATATTCCTTGTTAGTAAATGGTGGACTATACTATTTCTTTAGGTAGTCCAAATCTAGCAAAAAGCTCTCGCAAAATTTTAATAACCGAACTAGCATTAGTGCGTGCCATCAGAAAAGCTTCTATCCATTTCGTCGACGAATCGTTAATAATAAAAAAAGTTTTACCATAAAATGGGCCCAGGAAGTCCAAATGTAACCTCGACCATGGTTCTGCAGAGTAGGGCCATGGGTGTGGGGACGAGCGCGGCGGAGCTGGCGCCTCCGCCGAGCACGCCCCGCGCACTCGATGGCCCGGCCACTACATCTTACTGCGCGCTATGCACTTCATCTTCACGATTCCCATATGAACTACATGTACCTCACTTAATAATAACGCTCACAATAATAACGCTCACAATCAACATAGCCCCGCACTAGGGAAACCCTGTGTCGCGGGTGCCATGGACACACACATAGACAACCACAAATTACACCCAAACTCACGAGAGAAATAAATGTAGGCCATACAAATATTTCTCCCGGCCCGGGAATCGAACCTGGGACCTCTGCGTGGCAGTCCGGCATGGTGACCGTTCGGCCACGGAGGCACTTAATAACTTGCTACTGAGTACAGCTGGAATCACTAACCTATAACCAGAATTAAACATTCCAGGTCTAGGTACAACTCTTCACATCGCACAAAATACGGTTTCAACTGCTCATCTGAACAAACTTCCGGCCAACCTGAACTTGCATACATAAAAACCCTTTTTAGAACATCATCATGTATTTATACCTTTTTATTTCGTGTCAAAATTTTTGAATAAAATTAACGTACGTTTGCTCTTGTATCTTTGGACTTGGACTCCCTACGGCAAGCGTGATAACGCATCCACAGCATTTTTATCTCCCTATACTAATTCTATTTTATAATCATATACCGCCATAATCACCGCCCCGCCCACCGCTGTAGCCTGCTAGCGGCCATTACGGGAATACCTGTTTTATCACCGAAAATTGTCACTAAAGGTTTGTGACCGGTACGTAAACAAAACTTCCTGCCATACAAATATTGATGGAGTTTCCTAACGCCAAAAATAATCGATAGTGCCTCCCTTTCAATTTGTGAGTACGATCGCTTCGCAGAGTTAAAAACTTTCGAAGCGTACGCCTATGGTCGCTCGCCAGCTGGCGTGGCGTGCGAAATCACAGCGCGCCTACCCCGACGCTGCTTGCGTCAGTTGCCAGTACTAATGGTAAGTCTAGTGAATAATGCGCTAATACCTCACTCGAAACCAATAATGTATTTACCCGATTGAATGATTACAATGTTTGTTCCATTGAAAACTTTCATGTTTCCTCAAAAGTTTATATGAAAATGAAGAAATGAAATATGGTTTATTTCTATCCTCACAAACTACAAAATTCTTGTTATATATATTAATAAGTACTAGTTGTATTAGCTAATTATAATTTATGAGGAAGCTGGAATCTAAAGTAGGTCGAAACCTGTGCTATAGCTTCCAAGCCCCCCACCACGAAAGTAATTATGACTTAGAACGTAGGCACTTAACAATTAACAAAATGTGTGAGTGTGTCTGTATGTATGTGTGTGTGTAGGTGTGTGTGTGCGTGCGTGCGTGCGTGCGTGCGTGTGTTTCCTGGAAAAATAGCATTTTTCCTTCTTGACTCTTAAGCCATAACGTTGCAAACGATCGAAAACGTTATGTAGTGTTTTATGATGTGATTCATCGTCCTGTCCCGTGATAATTGTCATCAAGAAATATCCCCACATACGGTATATCGGCAAAAATCTGTTCTAACTTACGTTGGAAAATTCCCGGGCTTGAAGCCAAGCCATAAATCAACCTATTGTAATAAAGAATCCCTTGTGAGTATTAATTACTGCACATTTTTTTGATTCATCCAACTCAAATTTTAGTGAACTGAGATAAATCAATTTTAGAGATTTTTTTCCGCCATCTAACCTACCAAGTAAGTGTTCTACTTTCGGTACAGAGAAACGGTCCACCTCAAGACATTTATTCAAAATAACTTTAAAGTCGGCACATACGCGAATGGTTCCGTCCTTTTTCATAATAGGTACTACCGGTGTAGCCCAGTCAGACGTAGTAACATGGCTGATGATTCCGTCGCGCACCATGTCGTCCAGCGCACGGCCCACTGGCTCGCCCATTGCATACGCCGGCCGCGCGCCCTCGCGTAATCTGAACCCCCCTGTCCCGCCGGTAAATCTCCCGAGGCCAACCGCAAACATCTTAGAGTATCTGGAACTAAATTCCGTTAAATCAAAAACATGTTTCTTCACTTCTCCCTTGGATAACACTCCATCGAATTAATATTAATGCCTAGTTCCCTTACCCACTTTGTTCCGAGTAGACTGGTCTTTTCCCTATCCACAATATAAAGATCTAAGTACTTGTTCATGTCCCCATAAGTTACAAGTGGTTTAATTTTTATCTAAAGGTTTCACTGTCTCACCAGTGTAATAATGCAACGTTAAGTTACTGTTTCCCAGTGGACAATTTGTAAACAACTGATCATAACAGGTTTTGCTAATGCACGATATTGCACTACCTGTGTCCATCTCCATTAGTTTATTACGTCCATTTATGTTAACAGTTATCGTGTATAGTACAAACTGTTTTAAAATTAATCATTCTAAGGAAAAATTATGTACCTCGTCGCTTCCCTCACTGGCATTTCTTTGGTGCACCGCCTCCTTTTCAACTAAGTTGTAGAATGAGTTCCCATTACGTAGGTACATTCGGGTACATTCTCCTAAGGTGACCTTTTTTATTGCATACTCTGCATACATACGCTTGAAATTTGCAAGTATTCATCTCATGAGCGCCACCACACGCGTGACACTCGCTCTTCGATTTCTCAAAATTATGTATTACGATCAACATAATTTCTATTTCCGCTAGCCGCTTCTCTGAGCTCACTTGAACTCCCGCCTACATATCGCCTCGAACTCGTGCGCACGTTGTATTTGCCAGCCGGCCGACCGGTTCTAGTCGCTGCGGCTGCACCGCGGGCTCCACTATCGCCACTGCCTCTCGCGGGCGTTGAAATTAGCCTGTGTAAAGACGACAATGGCGATGGCATCTGTGTGACGTCACGCCGTTTGGAATATTCCTCCACTAATGCCGCGTCTATCTCTGCTGCTTCTATGCTCACTGCGATTTTAAATGCTTCATCGAAAAGTATTCTGTCCTCAGCGAATAGCCGAACACGAATTGATGCCGCAAATTTTCTTTTAAAGTCTCTGGCGTAAATTCACAATCCTTTGATAGTCTCTTTAATTCTGCGACATATTTTGAGACACATTCGCCATTTTTATGGACCCGATCTGAATTTGGAGCGTTCTGCGTTCACTAGGATTCGGTTGCAACTGCTTGCGAATTACTTCCACCAATTCACAAAATTTTTTTGTGATGGTTTTACGGATGTGCACAGATTGTCATTTGTCGAGTTACTTACACTTAGCGAAGTTAATTCATTACCATTATAATTATACATATTTTATGTACGTTTAGCTAGTGCATTTCTATGCAATTTAATTTTCTGTATTCACTTTTGTTGCATTATATTTTAGTTTTATGTTTGTAATATTGTATTTTAGTTTTAATATTTTAGCATGCATTGCGTGTCTCGGCGCTTACGTAATTATTTTTTTTATAATATTGAGTGACGGGACGAACAAGTCGTGTACCTAATGATAAGCTACACGCCTGTACATAACAGTTGCAGTGCCGCTCAGAGCTTTAAATCGCAATGATCTGAAGGGCACTGCCACTGCACCCATCATCCTGAGACATAAGTTGACAAGTCCCATGTGCCTGCAATTTCATAAAAAAATTCAAATTATTATTTCTATTCTATTCTATTCTATTCGTTTCTCTAACTCAATCATGTTTCGAACTACATAGTTCACATAAGAACATACATACCCGTGTATGTTCTGACTTCATTATAAAACTTCACTAAACAAGTATAACTTCATTAAACAAGTTCCATTCCTGTTTTTTAATGTCGAAAAATCGATTTTCCGTGCGGTCGCAATACGTCAAAAGATTTATTTTGGATTTCATGGATGGATTTCACTTCTCCGTAAATCTCATTCTCACGGTCCCATTGAATAAGCGACTTCAAGGCAATCGAGTAAAAATTTCGAGCGCATCTTCGGTTTACATTAGATGAGATTTTCGACAAACGTGAGATTTAATAAAGTCGAATCAAAGTGACGATATAAATTTAAACATAAAACTAAAACAATCACTAATTTGTAATCTAAGGATTGTAAGAAAGATATAAAAAAATATTGCATATATTATATTGTGTGGAGTGTATTTATTATTATCTCAGCTCGAATTAAATTTTTTCTCGTACCAAATACGGTTCATTTTACTTGGGTCGACCCGCACGGACACTATTTTTATTTCAGATTTTATTTTTTTACAAATGAAATTAAAACCATTTGAAAAATGTATAATATTATACGACAGTGTTGTATTTAGTTTA